ATAAAATAAAATAAAAATTTAATATCATAAAATAAATTTAAAATTGATTAAATTAGATTATATGCCTTTGGGGTGTAAGGAATGATCATTAAAAGAAGACCTAACACTAATAAATATATTTTATTTATTAGTTCAAGAGACATCGCAATTTAACTATCGCTTATTATATAAAAAAAAAAATTTATTAATAATTTCTATCGCTAATTATTAAAAAATTTGATTAATGATCATTACTATATCACCTGTTATACCTTGCATTGAACAATTATTGTATATTCTTTCCAGCCTCCTATCCAATCGATACCTCTGTTGCCTGGTGTGTGTCTATCAGATTAAACAAAATAAAAAAATTGAGTATTTATCTTCATTATTGTCAAGAATCAAGAAGAACGTTTATAATTATATTTGATTAGGCCACGAAGAGCTTTTAATTCTCGATTCATATATCCTATTCACCACAGCTCTAGAGAAACTCCATAGATGACTTTTCGATAACATAAAAAAAACATTCATAACCATGTTGACTACATGATTATGGCTACGATAAGCTTTCATTCTCATGATTTACATCTAGTGGCAGCACAACTTCAGCTATATAACAACTAGACAATAACTTAGTGAATACTCACTCAAATCTACGTAATTCTATATACAAGTTCATAAAAATAATTTTAATTCTATCTTCAAAACCTTTGCCATTCTTTCCATTCTTTCGCAGCAACTTTTGAGCAATATCAAAGTTAATGTGAGATATTTTTTTTTTAAAATTAAAAAACTACTACATACTTAATATCGAAATTGTTACCCCTTTTTCTTTGCATTATTTCGCTAAAAACAAGTCTCAAGCATGAATAATAGCTAGAAAAGTTGTAGATCGATATAACGATAAGATTAAAAATCAAAATTACACAAATGATGAGTAAAAGTGAAAATCAAATACAAATTAAGTATAATTTCGGAAAAAGCTAAAATATAAATTCAGGCAAATTTAAAATACAAAATTATAATATCGATATAAATTTAGACAAAATTAAAGATCGATACTAATTTATAGCATTAATAAAAAATATAATAGATATAAAATTAAAAAAAAACTTAAATACTTATAAAGCAATAATTTGGCGAATGAAGACACCTGAAAAAAAATTCATCAATTGCCAACTAAGATGATACAGCTTTTGTGCTATATTCGTAATATATAATAGATATTATTATTAATTTAAAATACCACTAGAGCTAGATCTAATACAGTAATAAATTTGCTAATATGAATAAGAAAATTTTCTGATCCAAATAATCTTTTAATTTTTTAAGTGCAATTATTAATTCACTGAATTTCCACTTTGATCTGTATACTGTTCCAAATCCCCCATCACTATTTCTTAAAAAATAGAGAAATCATTATATGAGTAAAATTTAATATGTATCTGGTGAATAGAATTTTCTAGTCACTTTGAATATTTTCATATTCTAGTAATTCTTTATATATCAAACAAATATTTATTACTAGGTAAGTCAAGTGAAAGTTTTCCTAAAATATGAAAGCATATATTATGCATATATAGTACATAACACTAATATCTGAAGTACCATATAAACCTACATTATCAATATCGACATACTCTGAATATTGCAAAGTTTAATAAAAATGCGTATTTCTAATACTTATATATAATCTTGAAAAAATTTTTATCTGATGTACAGTGGATAATCATGTGATCTTAGTGTCGAGAGTGTTCTCTGTAGACGATTATGAGGTTTTACAAGTTTTAGTACCATAATTCTAGTAGTAATAATATGAATATTATGATAATTAAAGTTATAATATATGTATCAAAAAAAACTTAATAAATTATTTAGATATACAGTAATTTAAGAATTAAAAATTAATTAATAAAGCAGAAATTTGAATGATAATTTTATGTTTATTTGCTCATATCTCAATAAATTTTAAAGCAATTTTGATGATTTAAATATTCAAAAGAAAGCTTAGATAGTGAGCTTTCTTTTGACTGTTAAATAATTAAGATAGGTCTCAAAATCTATCAACAGTCCAAATATTATTCTAGTAAAATTCAAAATGATCTATCATTTTTAATTTGTAATCTGGTAGAATTAATTTTAACTTTGGTAAGCATAACTCTGGAGAAAGTGAAATACTAAATAGTTGGTTTCTGCAAATAAAAAAGCTTCTTAGTGTTATATCATTTTGTTTTTAATAACTTCACTTGCACCAAAATCATTAATTAAACGATAATTATTTAACCAAACTCTAGCATGAGTATGATCAAGATTGAATGCTTCTTCAATCAATTTTTGTGCTTCATTGATATTTTGCTTGTATCCATAACCGCCAAGTAAGCATCTTTCTAATTTATTTTTAACTTTACTTTTAGTCTGATTATAACCTTCATTTTGAATTTTTTGAAGAACCTCAAAAGCTTTTGTAAGATCTTCAGACGCGCTAGCAGCGATAAATAAAATTTCTACTGCATTAAGATATTGATTTTTTGCAATATCAAAATTTTTTTCAGCATTTTGAATTTTATTATTATTGTAGTAAGTTTTCATCCGAGAAGTCTTGCTGAGCCCTTATTAAAATTATAAGGTTGAAATTTGAGATATTTGTCTATTAATTTCATAAAGATTATCACTAGCTTTAAATAAGGATAATGTTAAAATATTCAGTATACAACAATTAAATCATATGATTTTTAACTTTTAAAGTTGTAATTGGGAATGGAATTTAATTAAGTGGATTGGAATTTTAATTCTATAACTATACAGAATTAAAATAAAAAAATTTTTATTAAAAATTTCAATTAATAGAAAGTAATAAAGACAAAATTGATTTTTGGAATTGTTTTTTTCTATGAATTGTGAATTGATATCATAATTAATAATCGTGATTCAATTATATAAGCATATTTGTATTTCTAAAAAAAAATTAAGTGTGATAATATAGTGCCTTACCATATTATTGTAGACACTTTCTCAAGATCTGATAAGTAAACACAACACGAAATTTGTATCACGTGAAGAGTAGATCTCAAGGTACAACTATACTTGCTGGCAAAACTATTGGGGTTTGGGACGAATCAATAAATATTATTAACAATAAATTACTTATCAAATTTGTGTCTTAAAATTCGCCTAATCAATTAGGGTATTTTACAAAAATTGTAGAATTTACAATTAAATAGACCCCTAATCCTTAACCCTATACTAATTAATTAATTAAAAAGGAGTACCTTTTCAGGGGTACTGTATGCAGCGTTGTACGGTAGTATTTTTCTAAAGCTAACATAAAAATTTATTGTTTAATAATGCTTATAACTGTATAATATATTTTATAATCAGCTATTAATAAATGAAGGAATTAGAAAATAAGAGTACATCTTTGTTTCCTTTTATAATATACAGCAACCCCTTAAATGCAACCCCCTAAATGCAACCCCCTAAGTGCACGTTCTATGAAAAGCCTCCCTAAATGAACGTATTCTCTTGGGCCCAACTTATTACACCTATAGATTTTTACCTCTCTAAATGCAATATCTCTCTAAATGCAAGTTTTGCTAAATTTTTATATATGGTACTGTCGCATTGCATTTAGAGAGGTCTGACTGTATAACATTTAAAAATTGTTTAACATGCTAATTTAATCTTTGTCACGGATGATGGTGAAATTTTGGGTCTCCTTTTGAAAACATAAATTCTATTTATACTCTTTTCTAAGCAACTCTAAAATAATACACCCTAAAAAATTCTAAAATTTCATATTAAATTAGATCCAAATTTCACCATCATCCGATTTCACGATTATCCGTGACAATCTTTATGCAATTCCAAGCAAATTTTTGTATTTCACACAAGTGGCGTTATGTCGATGGAGTAGCACATGTACATAACTCAATTGTCCTACTTTAGCGTACCCCTACTTTTAGTCTACATACATTTAGCATTCAATTTCATTTTAATGTTAATTTTTCGTTGCAATTTTGTTTAAGTTTGAGTACTGAAATTGATTAGAAATGCCTTTTTCTATTGCCTTGATATTAAATCCATCATGGAAATTATAAAAATTTAACCTATATGTTGAAATTGTAATGTCTTTATATTTTTTAGTTGTCGATATCAATATTATATAATTGCAATATCGATATCGATGTATGTACAGTACCTTATTGCATTTTGTTAAACACCCTCCTTAAATTTATCCCTTCTGCACATACATTTATAGGTTATATAATTTAAATAAATAGAGGTAAATTTAATAATTTAAATAATATTCGACAATCATAAAAAGATTAAATTGAAATAAACCATCCCGTTATAAAGAATAATTGCTCATTTTACAAAGGATAATTATCTCATTAAAAATAATTAAAATGGCGACAGGAAAACTTTCACTTTTTATTATCTTATTCCTGATTTGCGTAGTCTTTATTGAACTAGCTCAATCAATTGCATTGAATAAACGTCAAAGTGGTTCTGTTGCCTATGCTGATTTTATTAGTGGTGGAGAAAAAAGAGGAGCTGCGGTAACTGGTCGATTTGTTTGGACCCCTATATCAAAAAGCGATACCCAAGTCGATGGACAATTTAATTCAGGTTTTGAAAATTCAAATATCAAAGATTATAGCTTCTTTTTAGAAGATAAACATGGCAAAATAGTCTATGATCTCACAGAGAACATTAGTAAAAAGGTTAATATTATTGTACCTGGAACCTCACCTTATAATGAATGTTTTGCAGATAGTTTTATGAAACCTGATGATATTGTAGGTTTAAATTTTATTGTTAAATGTCAAAGTGAAAAAATTGGCGAGGCCCTTATTAAATATAGTTAAAATAGTGTAAACGTATTTATTCAGTAGAGATCAAAATTATTTTGATTATTTTTGGTCTCTTAGCCATTTAAGTTAATAAAAACTATTTTAATTAAATAATCTTTATTTTGTTTAAATATATATATATAAAGACTCAAATTTTCATTCAATAAAGAATAAAGAATTCACTCTATGAATTTATTTTTAAAATTGTTCAAATGATAAAAAAAAATATAGCATTCTAGCCTTTGTCTAAATATTAAACAAAAAGACTCAATAGATTTAGTAAATAATAATAAATTAATTACAATAATAGCACAACTAGAAAGTGGGTCTTGTAATCTATTATTTATCTATAATCCAATCTAATAAATTTGGTAAGAGTAAAATTTTTTAAAAAACTAAACAATTTAAAAAATTTATATCTAAAAATCTTTGTATAACTAACTATCTAATAAAACATTCTTATCTAAAGTTTTTTTTTTTAAAACCTCTCTCCACTATCTTAAAGGTCCTAGACACCTTAGGATTTTTCTCTCACTCTCTAAGGCCAGAGTTATCATTCCAGCAAAGATCAATGGCAGGCGAATTGGCTTTCTGAAATATTACCAAACCAGTGAAATAGCTCATGCCCTATTAAGTCCGTCATTTGATGTCCTGGGTCCCTGGCCCCATGGTGTAGGACCTACATTCTCTAGGTCTGCAGTTCTCTAATTTCACATGACCCACTAGCTAGATTATCCTTTTTATACTCTTTCAGTATATCTTATTGCCTTTTTTTGTAATGCCTTTTATTTGGAAACCTGATGTTATTGATGTTTTTTGTCAGATTATCTTCTTTTCTCAGTGTCATGTAACTCCTGTAGCTATGTCACCTAACTTTTTGTATTGTTGTAGTATTTTTGTTCAAAAGTAGAAGTAGAGAATCCCTGAAGATCATTCATTCTTGTAATATTCTTGTTCGGAAGTAGAAATAGAAAGTCCTTTTAAGATCATAAATACTCGTGATTCTAGCATAGCTTTTCCTCCCAGTTGGAATTGAACTGGCGACCTTGCAAATGCGACCTAGAAGTGCTAACCACTGCACTATCGACCCACAAGTCCATCTAAAGTTTTTTTTATACTATTAGATAATTAAAAAATAATTTATAAAAGTTTTTTATACAACTAGATATTTAAAAATTATTATTTATCTAATTTATTTATACTACCAAATACTTAAAAATTTTTGTTTATAAAATTTTTATACAACTAGATATTAAAAAAACTTTTGTTTAAAAAGTTTTTGCACAACTATATAATCTCAATTAATCATATCTTGAAGGTTTTTTACACAGGTTAAAATTAAAATTATTATTTTAATACTTTTAAATAATTGAATATAATAATAGCAAACTAATAACTATTAGCTAAAAACAGATTAATAAAGTAAAAAAAAAGCTAATAGGCTAAAAATTTTAAAAAAATATGTTATATATTGATTTAAAGTCAAAAATAAATATCTAAATATTAATAAAAAATTAGTAAATTATTAAGATAATAGGCTAATATTTTAAAAATAATTTAATAATTAGATAAAGTATAAACTAATATTTTATTTGTTATCTAATAATAATTTTTATAATTTTGTATAATATAATACTAATATGTTTGTATATATTTAAACAATTAATTTATTTTTTTTAAATTTTTGTAAAATAATATATTATATTTATTAGTTGTTATAAAAAACAATATTTGTTAATAATTAAAAATAAATATCAATTAGATATATATTTTATATCAATAAGTACTATTTATTTCCCCAACCCGGAGAATAAATTAGTTATCCTATGTCTATATGACGACATGATGCGATTACGTGTTATTAATTAAATCTTTTATTACATCATAGAAAGTCTAATTTATTACAAATCGCTAGCTAAAAAATATATATATATATTTAATAAATATATTAAACTTTTTATTACGTAGTAAAAGTATAATTGAAATATATAAATAAAATTTTTTTTGAATTGATCATTTTCTTTTTCTCTCTCTCCCCATTTATTTTCTTTCGCTTTCTTTACCAGAAATTAAAAATGAACTTTTCAAATAGTAAGGATTTTACGACAGCTGCACAAATGTATAAAAATAATAACCATTTCGACACTTCTTCCAATATTTCTCTTGATGACAGCAATGATAGTGATGGTAGTGACGGCAGTTATGGCACTTTTGATATTGACAATAATGAAAGTACTTGTAAGAACAAACCTGAAACTAATGAGAAAAGTCAAAGCGAAGATAAAACTAAGGTCTTTGTTTTACTTTTTTGGATTAGTAAATACGTTAACTGTTACATGATTTTTATATTTTTACTTTTTTTCAGCCTCGTTTTCAAGCACCTTCTGTGAAAGACGTCAACCATACTATTGATTACTCTAAAGTGGCAAATACTAAACATAATACCCAAACATGGGTAAATACAATCAATGAATATTTTACAGATTTAAATCATCTCAGTGATATTACACAAGTTAAAGGTCGTACTGAGTTAGAGGATATTCTTATTCAATTTTTTGTCGCCTTAAAAAGAAAGGATGGACAACCATATGCACCTACATCAATTCACAACTGCTATTGCGGAATTGGATCCCAAGCCAAACATATTCGATAAAAATCAATTTCCGCGTTTATATGCAACAATTAATGGAAAAATTAAATTACTACAAGATATGAATCACCGACAAACTAGTAAAAGTGATTCACTTACCAATAATGAAATAATCCAAATATTGAATTATCTTTTGCAAGACACACCTACCACCATTATATACAGAGTATATTTTTGGCTATGTCTCTTGTGTGGATTACGTGGCGAAGATGCCAAATGACTCCAATACGATCATGTGAAAGAAAATGATTCTAATGATCTTACGGTTACTATACCTTGTGAAAAGAATCATGTAGGTGGTTTGAAAAATCTCAATAATTCAGACAGAGTATGCCGAATACCACCTGATACTCAAGACAAGTTTACTCCAGTTCGTGATATCTTATACTATATGCTTCGGCATGGAAAACATTTTACATCTAAGGAATTTTTCTTAAAAATCGCTTATAAAAAAGGTATTAGTTTATTTGTTTATTGTTATACAATTATTAATATGCATTATTTGTTTATTATACAGTTAATATCGATATGCAAATTTGTTTTTTAGATTTCGAGAAAGGCATCTGGTTTTATGATTCTCCACTTGGATGCCATGCTCATAAGAAAATGATTAAAACATATTTCAAACGACAGGTGTAGTTAATATGAATCTAAAAAAAATAACGAATCATTCCCTAAGATGAACTGCAATTCAGATACTCACACAGCTAAACATGAATACTAATCGAATTATAGCATTTAGTGGACATCGTTCACTTGGTGGCGTTGCCTCATATCAAACCTTTACGAAAGAAATAATGAACAATATGGTTGCTATGATTGTTCCAGGTAATTACCAGTATTTTTATTTTAACTTTATTGTATTTTTTTTTTTTTTTTACATAATATTAATTTTCTTTTTTTTTTTTTTACATAAAATAAATTTACAAAAAATTATAGATTCTCAAGAATCAACATCAAATTCTTCACGTCCACCACTTGCACCTATTTCTAATTCAAACAATCAAGTAGTTCGTCAACGTTCTAAAATTTTCAAACCAAGACCTTTCAAGCCATACGATGCTTCAAAACCATTTGTTAGTCTACTCAAAAAACCTGTTACAAAAATTGTTGAAGAAGATACTCAGGAAATTCTTCCAGCCGTTGATTCAAATTCTACTCAGGAAATGCCTAGAATTATTGTTGAAAACTGTTCAAATTGGCAGATTGAAATAAAAATTACAATGAAATAATATAATCAATATAAATAAATTGCTTATAGGCATTTTCAGCCCTGCTAGATGAAAATTTTAAAGTCTTTCGGTTCTCTCAAATGAGAATTTGAAGTACCTTCGGTCTCTCATATGAGAATTTTTAAGTACTTTTGGCCCTTATTATATCAATTATCTCCAAAATTTTTTAGTTTTCCGGGGAAATAATGTATTTAAAAATTTGGTTGCCTGGGGAAATAATGATATTTGAAACCCCATTATAATTTTGGTGATAAAAATGTGAAAAAATAACACGTAAATCCCCATCATGCGATCATATTGAGACATGAGATAATATAATAGTTATATCATCCTAATTTTATAGATTTTACAAGGGTATTTTGAATGCAATACTTCATATCAAAATTTACATCTAATTTATAACTTTGACTCAATAATAACTAATAGATTTAGATCCAAAAACTGACAATATCACAATTGTATTGCAATTCGCTAATAATGGAAATTTACATATTTATTTAAAAAACAAACGGCAAGATAACATTTTTAAAATTTCATGGGTTGAAATTATTCAAATTGCAAAAGAAATAGTTCTTGGGTTGAAATATTTGCACAGTAAAAATATCATTCATAGAGACCTAGTAAGTTTTATTTAAACTAATTTATAGCCAACTTTAAAAGTATTAAATGAAACTCTAAAGTTTATTAAATATTTAGCATTCTAAAAATATTTTAATAAATGATGGTAAAGCCTTGATTGCAGATTTTGGATTGTCAAAGCAATTAAATGGCGCTGCCTCATTAAGTTCGGATGTAGGTGGTATGTTAGCATATACTGAGCTACAATGCTATAAGGATCCAAAGTACAAACATGACAAGAAATCTGATATTTATAGTCTGGGTGTATTATTCTGAGAACTTACAAATGGAATTCTGCCATTTTCGAGTTTTGCAAACGACGACGTTAGAATAAAACACAATGTTATAATTCTTGAAATTTTACAAGATGTACAAGAAAAATTGATTCCTGAGACACCCCCAAATTATGCTAGCCTTTATACAACTAGATAGCTGCGCGACGTCCTCGCGCAAAACCAGGAACGGAATATTTAAACAAAATAGAGATTAAATTTAATAAA